AAGAGAGAGCTTGTACTAGAGTGGGAAATGAGAGCTTGTACTAGAGGGGGAAGAGAGAGCTTGTACTAGAGGGGGAAGAGAGAGCTTGTACTAGAGGGGGAAGAGAGAGCTTGTACTAGAGGGGGAAATGAGAGCTTGTACTAGAGGGGGAAGAGAGAGCTTGTACTAGAGGGGGAAGAGAGAGCTTGTACTAGAGGGGAAAGAGAGAGCTTGTACTAGAGTGGAAAATGAGAGCTTATAAAATCCCGAAGCAAGTCATAGTCATCCTAATGGATATACTGTTTAAGCTGGAAACAATGTTTGTGTTCACAAGAACAGAAAAATCATAGCCAGTTTGACAAATAGTATGTATATTTGAGTGTATATTGGTCAAAAAATTGTTAGTTTCAAAGCAAATACGCTTGGTAAAGTAATAAATGAAATTATCATACCGAACATGTGTAATACCATTCAAGATTATGGGTTACAAACTTGATAAAAAACTATGAGACACCAAGTTATTGCATGAACATTTAGACTACCATATTTAGTCTAGTAGTGCATACACTTACATACGTAAATGAAAGTTAACTAGCTAGAATACAATTTTCAATTCATGTTACGGTACTCTTTTATTTGAGATTCACATCTAGTAGGAATAAATAAAAGATGAATGCTTCAGTGTAATATTTATAATATTTATAGATAATTCAGGGATATTTTTTCTCAGTTTGACGTCATCTGAATTAATCCGAGCTATGGTGAGGATTGACGCTACTCTTGTGGTAATCACAGCAGTGATCATTATGTCACACTGTGGAGATATGCAAGTTACGCATGTGATAAGGATCAACAACTGACCGCTGTATGCAAATAATCAATTTGTATCAGCAGTCTATCAACAACGGTTACATCTTTGTTCATCTGAAGAGTGTCACATGTAATACATACAATGCATAGAATGTTCACATGGTTAAATATAAATGGTTGTAACCTTCAGAACTGCACAGATCTTCATTGCAGCGAACATTAATTTCATGTTCTGGCAGTAATCGCGCTTGTCTGCATATAATTGCATTTCCAGAATGACAAAAAGTTTGGAAATAAAATATACTTACAATTTTATCAGGAAGGGATGATTGATCTGTTGTAAAATTGACTTTTCACTCATAATATGTTCAATTTGTTTCAACCTAATAACTTCAGATATATTCAGGACTTTTAAAGCAAAATATGTCTTAGTTTTTTTGTCTTTGACAAGCACAACTCTGCCAAATGTTCCAGTACCTGAAGGAGATATTAAAGGAAAGAGGTGATTAGAGAAACATAAATAAATAGAAAATATTCATTCCTGCTGGTCTAAATAATTGGAGCGATTTTATTTAGCTGTCTATTATTTGTCTTCATTACCATATTTATTCTATTAGCAGTGCATCTCCAATAAAAGCACATACCATATTTATTCCATTAGCAGTGCATCTCCAATAAAAGCACATACCATATTTATTCTATTAGCAGTGCATCTCCAATAGAAGCACATACTATATTTATTCTATTAGCAGTACATCTCCAATAAAAGCACATACCATATTTATTCTAGTAGCAGTGCATCTCCAATAAAAGCACATACCATATTTATTCTAGTAGCAGTGCATCTCCAATAGAAGCACATGCCATATTTATATAACAGTGCATCTCCAATAGAAGCACATACCATATTTATTCTATTAGCAGTGCATCTTGAATAGAATCACATACCATATTTATTCAATTAGCAGTGCTTCTCCAATAGAAGCACATACATGTACCATATTTATTCTATTAGCAGTGCATCTCCAATAGAAGCACATACTATATTTATTCTATTAGCAGTACATCTCCAATAAAAGCACATACCATATTTATTCTAGTAGCAGTGCATCTCCAATAGAAGCACATACCATATTTATTCTATTAGCAGTGCATCTTGAATAGAATCACATACCATATTTATTCAATTAGCATTGCTTCTACAATAGAAGCACATACATGTACCATATTTATTCTATTAGCAGTGCATCTTGAATAGAATCACATACCATATTTATTCAATTAGCAGTGCATCTCCAATAGAAGCACATACATGTACCATATTTATTCTATTAGCAGTGCATCTTGAATAGAATCACATACCATATTTATTCTATTAGCAGTGCATCTCCAATAGAAGCACATACCATATCTGTTCTATTAGCAGTGCATCTCTGATAGAAGCACATACCATATCTGTTCTATTAGCAGTGCATCTTTGATAGAAGCACATACCATATCTGTTCTATTAGCAGTGCATCTCCGAATAGAAGCAAATACCATATTTAATATTTTAATATAATTATTTTAATTTAGCACATACATGTATAACT